AAAACATGGCGAGAAGAAGTGGAAGTGTGAGAAATGTTCCAAGAAATATGCTGTTCAATCTGATTGGAAAGCTCATACTAAGATTTGTGGCACAAGGGAATATAAATGTGACTGTGGAACTCTATTCTCCAGGTACCAAATTAATGAAGCATAGATTATTATTATTTTCATTTATTGCTTTAGAGAATATATGGACTGTCCTAAGATTAGTCAATTGAGGAAATAAATGCAGAAAATGTGTAATTTAATGCAACTAACTTGAAAAAAATTGAACAGAAAGGACAGCTTTATAACACATCGAGCATTTTGTGATGCGTTAGCGGAAGAAAGTGCAAGATTTACATCAGTTCCAAGTACAGCAAATCTGAATTTCAGAAATGAAATTTTGCTGAATGGGGGATTTGGCAATACTAATCCTGGAAATCCCCAATTTGGTTCTAATTTGTTTAGGCCTGAATTTATGGGACTTGGATTGGACCCTGCAATTAGTCATCATCATCAACCACAGCTCAATAATGTCGATGGACAAAAACCAAGGATACCGCTTTGGTTGGACAATAATATGAATCCGAATAATCCAGGTAATGATTTCTTAGTAGCATCGTCAAGCTCTACTACTAGCAACTTGCCTCATCATGAATTGGTCCAAATCGCGGCACATAACAATAATCAACAATGGTTCATTAATGGTGATGATTCTGGAATTGGCTCTTCCTCGTCTCAACTTCCTTCACGAGTACTGCTAAAGGAGGAAGAAGAGAACAAAAGAAATATGTCGGAGACAATAAGTTCAATGTACTACAACAATCATCACAATGAAACAACAGCACCAGCTACTCATATGTCGGCTACTGCACTTTTACAAAAAGCAGCCCAAATGGGATCAACGAGGAGCAATTCGTCCCTCTTTGGTGCTGGATTCGGACTAATGGGCTCGTCTTTTTCTAAAACCAATGGACAAGGACAATTTGCTGCTCATGATCAGAATTTTAACGGCTTAATGATGAACTCTCCATCAACAGCTACGAATAATCAAGGAAATAGGCTGTTGTTCGGGGATATGAATTCGAGTTCATTAGAAGGCAATGCAAGTGGAAAGAACTCAGATCCTTTCAATTTGATGCCGCGTAACAACAAAGGAAAACAAGTGAATCTTAGTGGAAATGAAGCAATTGAAGGAGGTTTAACAAGAGACTTTCTCGGGGTAGGAGGGAATGAAAGTAGGCCTTTTCTATCGAAAAATGAGCTAGCCAAGTTCGGTAACATTTCTGGTTCAGCCATGGGATTAAGCGACTATAGTGGAAGTCATTGACTCTGAGTTCAACTGTTGTTTTTCACTCAAAATATATACACATATGCACAAAAAAGTTATGTGTGCTGCACACACATTCTAAAGTGAATTACTCAAAAGGTCCAAACTTGTGGGGATATGTTATTTCAAGGATTTTCACTATAGTGGAATGATACAATGTTCAGAGTGTGGAGAAAAAAAGAAGTTGGAAGAAGGCCAAAAGCTTCAATGTTGATGAGAGAAGAGAGAGAAAGCATCAGCAATTTTGAGAGATCCTGTGAATTGTCAGAGAAAAAAAAGGGTGGGGACCACTGAATGTTGGAAGAGATTTGTTAAAAGGGACTTGACAATCACAAGTCAGCCTTTTTTTTTCCTCCATTGTGTTTACTTACTGCTTGTAGAAATATTTCTGCCTTTTTACAAATTTATTTTCCTTTGAATGTTCAATTGCTTACTGCATACCTGTGAACTCTCTAGGCTCACTGCCATATTCAGAATCTTTTAGAATTTCAATTATTTTGGTTGTTATTTTCACTTCTAGTACCTCTTTTTGTTTCTTATAATTGTTCTCTTTATCATGTTGTTCATGCCTTGATCAAACACTGCCAAAAGAAAATTGACATTGGTCAGTTTCGTTGTTAATCTGTCGTTAAATTGCTTGTAGCTAATACAGTTTTTTTGATAATCCGTTGCTAAATAAGATTAAGGATTGATGTTGTTGTTTAGTTACAAAATTTTCCGTTGCTAATTCCTTTTTTAGCAGTGAAAAAGATGGCCATCATAATTGGATTTTGGAGTAGTTATTAGTTTTTCTCCTTGATTCTACTCTTTAAGTTTTGGAAAAGATCTGTTTGATTTATGCATCATTTTGTACGCATGTTGTTGAATCTGTAAAGAATCATGGAATAATAGTATGTTTTAAGAAAGTTCCAAGAAACCAAGCTTTTTAACTTATATATACACTGACATTATTAAAGACTTTTTTCGTCTATCGAAAACAATTTTTCTATTTTTCGGGTAGGGATAAGATATATGTACCTTTTTCAAACCCCAATTTATGAGACTACACAAGGTATATTATTGTTATTTTGTTGTTATTGTTGTTACATTATCAATATTTACTATAAATTTATGTTTTGCCGGTTAATTACCATTCATATATTTGAAATAAATAGTTATATGTAGTAATTTTTTTTTAAATAATCCCCCTCCTAAATGGGCGTCCAAATTGGATTCCCTCAAAGTTATGAAGTAAGATACTGATTACTATTTACTCATTGGGTAATTAATTTTTTTTCTATGCGAATTAGTTCATTAGCTCCGAAAAGACTGATTTGGCCAAAATCATTTAGAGCTAATGATCAAGTTAAACATTCTAATCAATCCGTATGTTGTTTTTTTGTTCTGGCTGAACCGATTGAGGGGTGTGATGGATCGGTAGGAAAATTTCTTTCATTTTTAATCTGAGGTCTCGAATTCGACTTCAAATATTTACCGGATGATTTAGCTTTAAAAAATAAGGGTGCAAATGTGGTCACCTAAGTTAAATGAGGTCTACATAATATATTTGTTGTGATTTGTAGAGATGTACATCTATAAAATTTGGAACTTGTTAACTCGTTTGTCTGTTGCTTTGGCAGCATGCTGGGATATATACGCATATCAAAATCATTCCAGCTATTTCTCATCAGTTGAGCCAAAAGACAAGTTTAATTAATTATATTTATCAATAATTTATCTCTTTCTCTCCAAACTCCCATCTCCTAAGCTTGGTTTATATATATATATATATATATATATATAAATAATATCATCATAAGGGCAAAATTAATAGTAGTAAAAAAAGTGATATACTGTAATTTGAAAGAAAATAAATGATTCTTGCTCCCTTCATTATAATCAAACATTTTCTTAATTAATTATGAGTAGCATATATTAAAGTTATACTGTAATTTGATATTATTTCTGTACACTTGGAGAATCAATATTTTTTTCTTTTAATATGTGTTTACGTTTTTTCAAATACTCTTAAATAAATGCAATTGCTAGTATATTTAGTGCAAGAATATGTACTTTATTTCAAACTTTTATGAAATTGACATTCAAATTCATACCGAAAAATCAATTAAATAATATTTTTTTAAGCGTGATTTTGTTTCTCCTTAATTGAGAACGTGTGTGCATGGAAATTATGCATGGAGATCGATAGTACCAAAGTTTGAAATTAAACAGAATCTCGAGAATGTGTGTGTGTCACGGTGAGAAAACCCTAGCCCCTACCTTATAGCATACAATAATTATGACATTTTTCTATTCAACTGCTTCGAACTTTGAAATAATTGTCAAAATATAAATATATTCTGTTGGTTTAAGGTAGTCAAAGCTAGTTACTTGTATTAGGTAGCCTCGATATATTCACTTTCATTCTCTTGCCTAGGTTAGGTAAATAATGTTTGTACACTTTTTTCGGTTATTTATTGGTCATAATTTGACTTGACATGAATCTCAAAAAAGTGAAAAATATTTTTAAATCATGAAATCAACTAAAGATAGGTATAATATACCAAATATCACATGTTCATTCTCTTTTTCCACTTTATTCGTTGAAATAACATTGTATTGAATATATTTGCTAAGTTGAAAATTAGAGGGAAATATGATGATACAAAAAGAGTCAAGAAAGGTTATATTTGGTTACACAATTTTACATTATTCCAGAGCAAATTTGGATTTTATATATATATATATATATATATATATATTCAAATTGGGTGAGTGAGAGACGAAATGTATTTATCTTATAAGTTGACGAATGCAGATGTATCAACGACCTAAGAAATCTAAGCAATTTTGTAGTGACATTTGTGAAGAAATACTTTTATATATTTTCTATGCACCTTTTAATTTTTATTATGAACATCATTCTACAACTATGGAACTATAGTAAGGTGTTGGTAAAAATCATAATGCATATTTTTCATCTTTACTCTCTTAAGCGATTTAAGATTCTAACCTCTCTAATTGGGAAGAGTTTGCAAAATATGTAAATGGAAGAATAATTGGACTAATACCCCAAGTATGGTAGCAAATTCCTTAAAACTAGAACAACAATATGATGGGCCATTATAAATATTGGGCTTTGAGAAAGATGAATTGATCATTTTTGTTGTGTATCAGTATAACTTCTTTAATTTTAGTGCCTATTCCTTCACTATTAATTGTTGTTGGTCGAAAGTTAGGATCTAATCTTAGCTTGGCATTTAAACTTGATTGGCCGCTATGATAATGTACTTGTGCAAACTCAAAGTTGAAGAGATCTGATAAGATGTGTGTGTCTATTTGTTAGTGTGAGAAGCCACATATGATGTGTGCGTCTATGTGTTAGTGTGAGACGCCACATAGGACGTGTGAGTCTACTTGTTTAATTTTATACTTAATTGGCTACTTATACATACCCAAAATTGGAGAAAATAGATGTTAGTTAAGATCAAATTAAAGACAATGTTTATGTGTTATGTCTTTGCGTTTTATTGTTGCTTGTTCAAGTAAAGAATATGCGTTGTGTACTAGTGAGGTGGCTCAATAGAAAATGAGTAGGAAAAGCATGTTTTATCACACAAATTTTCCATTATTTTACGGTAGAAAAACCTTCATTTCTAGTAATGATGGTAAAGTAGTATAAAATAAATTTTAGAATAAACAACCGAAGTGACGATTGAAAAACATATAAATGTACACCACTTCAAAATTTGATTCATATCTTACAGTTGAAAATCCAAATTGAAAAGACATGAAATGAAAAAGGAGGGAACAATAAAGAAACACAATTATTCAAATTGAGGGAAATCACAGACGATCACAACCGTCGAATCCAAACCTGCGACCCATAATCTCTTCCAAACAATATGATTCATGACCAATCACAACCGTCAAAAAATTCTAACGTCACAACCAAAACGCAAAACAGAAAGCCCCAATTCCCAACACCGCCACGCCGTTCACGCTATCAGCGCCCGATTTATCCGCCGGCGTATCATCGCTCCCGGAGCTTGGACTCAATGCTGCCGGAGACTTCTTCTTCAGATTCGACGTTTCCGGAGTCGCCGGTGCCGGTGCTGTCGCCGGCGACGGAGAAGCAAAGATACTCAATGGCTGAAGCACTTTATCTACCTGATAAACCGCGAGCTCACCGTCAGTATATATAGTATTACCCACAGTAGCATCTACAATTCCGGTGGACACATTCACTTGATTCCCGGAAGTCGTTACATTTAATGGGAAATCACCGGGACTAGTGTCTCCAGCTTGAGTCCTCAATGGATTACTCACAGTTTGAAACTGTGAAACTGAAATAAAACTAGGAAGTACATGAAATTGCACCAACTGAACTTGTTGTTGAGAACTTAGAGAATTGAGAGTTCCCGCTTTTAAGCTCGAAAATGCATTATCAGTAGGTGCAAAAACAGTCATTCCTTGTTTCGAATTATTCAATTGTGTATTGATCTGATCACCGGCTTGAGTAGTTCTTAAGAGCCGGATAAATGTGGTGAATTGACCAGCTTTTTCGAGTATTTTCGTTATATTGGTGGGACCCGATGGAGCGGGAGCAGAGGCAGGATTTTGACCGAGGGTGAGGGTGCAAGAATGGAGGAAAACTGCTAAGAGGGAAAGAGAAAAAATAAGATGACTCATTATATTTGCTAGGAGAAATTGGACTTGGAAATTTGAACTTTAAAAGATGATTGGTGCTTGAGAAATTGAGGGGTTTTATGGAGAGAAAAATAGGAAATTTTGTATGGTAGGTGAGAAGTTGGAAATCATAGTAACTGTATAAACATATTGATAGTAGTATAGTATCTCTCAATTTGGTGGGAGGTTTAAGATTTTATTTTGTTTGTTGGAATTCTGTTTTAATTTATACATCGACAATGTAAAGACTGAACTTCTAACATGTTATAACATGTTAGTTACCATTTTATCAGGTCACAATCACTATTTATCGTAGAAATTTACTTGTAATTATCTTATAAATGACGTAATTGTAGAAGTTTAAGATATTAGAAGATCCAATTAGAATCTTTAAATTTCTGTTATGGACCATAATTAGAAACATATGGGGTTGGGAGGAACTATTACAGCTAACAGTTTGCTTGAAAACACAGGAAATTTGGAGAGATCTGAAGTTTGAGTTTTTACAAATATTAAAGTATTTTATGATTGCTTTGCTTATACTCATTAGAAATTTTAATTATGGCTATGATTGGCTTGCCACAAACTTAAAAAGGAAGTTTTGTTTAAATTCAGTGTAGTTCTTGATCATGATAAAAATAAAATTAAAAAAATAAAGTTATTGATCATGATTCATGTGTGCCCATCCTCTTCTGTTGGTTACTTATAATTCATCAACCTCTAATTAGGCCCTCTTTTGTATTGTATTAATTCACATTGAATGGATATTACAGAGGAACTAAAATCATTCCATTTTGCATAGTTGGTCATTGAGGTGTCATGCCACGTGACGTCCAACTCATTGGAATTGGGATTGGGTGTCCACCTTGGACAACCTTAATAGATGATATATGAACCATTTAAGTAACGTCGGGATATTTTTTGTTAGAATAATATAACGAAGGATACGGTGTTCCTCTTCTCGTACCTTTGAATCCAGAAGTACCAGCTGAGGACAAGAAACTACTCAACCCCGTACATATGTAACAGTGACAATGGTACTATTGGGAAAATTTGACCCTTTTCCCTTCAAGGAATAAGGTGCACCAAACAGACTGCCGGCAAAACTTGCCATGGAGTGTTTTTGATTGTAAAACAATGAATCAAAATCCTGAAAAAAACAGGAGTTAGACAAACTTGAGTTATTATGTATAGTATTAAGCAACAACATTTTGAAACAGGGCATGAAAACTCTACAATTCGAGACTTGGCTATCTCGTGAACAGGGCCGTCTTAATCACTAGGCCACTAAAGTCATCGCTTGGGGCCCCATATTTTTTGGGGCCTCCATTTAAAAAATAAAATAACTGATACATATTATTAAAAAATTATATTAATTTTTGAAAGAAAAAAAACGTGTAAGAGGTTTTATAGTTTTTCTTGAAAAATTGTTATTGTTGATATTCTTAGTTCATAAGTATATGTAAATTGTTTTAATTATAATAAAGAATTTATTCAGCTTTAATATGTCAACTAGAAAACATGATTCCAATTTTGAAAAAAAGAGAAAAAACTTGAAGAATTAGATAAATCTTAAAAAAGAGTCCTTGATAGATTTTTAACAAATAATAAAATTTTTGAATAAAAAATATTGGAGGTTGTTCTTCAAATGATCAAGTAACTCAATTATATAATTGAGCTAGATGATAATAATTCCAAGAAGAAAATCTAGAAGAAGTTGGTGAAAATGTGATATTGTTCCCGATATCAAGAACTCTTAAATAATTTAAATAGTTGCATCCCTAAAAATATATATGATCCAAGTCAATGGAATAATGTAGGTACAAAATTAAGAGATCTATTAGTAGAAAAGGGATCATTTAGAGTGACTGATATAAATTTCCACAAGATAAATATGTACGACATTTTTCTACAACACACTATATTCAAAAATTCGTAAACGGAGAAAAGCATGAAAGAAAATGATTAATCTACTCTACAGATTTGGATAAAAAAAAATTGTTTTTGTACTAAATTATTTAGCACAACTTCTATTATTTGTAATAGTAAAGTAGCTAGTGAAGGTAGTAATGAGTGGAGAAATCTTAGTGTTAAGCTCAAAGTCCATGAAGTAAAGAATGAACATATTATTAATAGGAAAATTCACCCCACATATCTATTTAAGGCTTAATATTACAGCCTTTAGATGTACTTTTTTTATATTACTACTTATAACAATTTAATTACAAGTATTAACATATTAGTTTTAATCTATAATTTAATTCTTTTGGTTTAATTAATTAGTTATTATTTTTATAATTACCTTACAATTAATAAGAGAAATAAGATAATCAATTGTCATTATCTCTTACACCATTTTAGAGATAACACTGATAGAGAATCAATTGTCATTATCTCTTACACCATTTTAGAGATAACACTGATAGAGAATCAATTGTCATTATCTCTTACACTATTTTAGAGAAAAAAATTTCCAGTTTTCACACTCCCACCCCCATGTTCCTCTTTTACATAGAACTATTTTTTTCTCTCTCACCATCTTCAATGTTCGTCTTCTTCATTAAAAAAGAAAATCAGCAAAACTCACGATTGAGCCCCATGGATGTGAAAGGAAAAAATAAGATAACATACTTTTCTTTCTGTATGATTTTTTTGTTATGTTTGATAATTGGAAGAAGCAAATGCTTACTTGTGCCCCACTAGAAGTGGATCTGTATTTGTTTTTAAATTAGCACATGTTTTAAAAATTATATGTGCAGGAAAGAATGTCAGATATGAATTCTGATTTTCTCTATCTATTCTTTTGTTCTCTCTATCAACTCTTTTGTTGTCGGTAGCAGGCAACTTGAGAAGAGGCGTTGGCCAAGGTTTCTGCTCTTGAACTAGAGATAGGTGATGCAATGCCAACAAATAATGAAATTTTGGTAAAAGATGCTTCTTCTCAGTCGAAGATTAGTCAAGCAAAGAAAACAGTTAGTCATGCAAATCAAAAGGGGAAAAAAGAGGAAGGTGAAAATTGTAGAAGCGACTCATTCTATTTTGGATTCGGATTCAGATTTCGTAAGTGAGATTAAAAAGAAAAAAAGAAAAAAGTAACAAATGTCGAAATTGGTCAGATTTCGTAATTATTGTTGTTACGAAACTTATATTGATGTGAAAACTGTACGAAATTTGAATAATATTTGTATGAATATGACATTAATATATGATATATGAATATTGTATGAAATGTGATGGAATGTTGGTATTCAACTGGTATGAAGTGTTATTTGATATTGGTATGAAATTGGTTTGATATCAGTAGTCCAATTAGTTGATTTTAGTGTCGTTTGTTAAATGTCACAGTGCACATGAAATCTGGTATGATGTTTGAATAATATTGGTGTGAATTTTTTTTCAAATATGGTATATAATTTTATTAAAATTTATGTACATGAATATGGAATGAAACATCAACAATATTGGTCTGAACTGAATTTTATATATAGTGTATGAATGTTGATATGAAATTGATTTAATTTTTGTATAAATTATGTGAAATAATTAATGAGAAAAGACATAAAGGCACAACTGAAGTTATCTCATATTTTCATAAAGACACCTTAACTTTGGAAGTGTCCTATCACCCCACAGAACTTTTTGATATCTTTGTAAATGGGCCATTTTGGCTCATTCCCTTGTCTGGGTTGTCGCGCGTGATGATCACTCTTTTCAACCCGTTCAACCCGACCCGATTATTTACTAAAGTAGAAAAGTCTTTTTTTCTTTGTTATTTCTCAGCTTTCCAAATTCTTCACATTTTCTTGTCTCTCTATCAAGGAACTCGAGAACAAGAGGAAGGAGAGAGCGCAGGTAGCATACGAGAGGAGAAAGCAGTAGGCAAAACTTAGAGTTAAGGCTGAGAAAGTTGCTGAGGAGAAGCTTGGACCTCAACTCGCCATTATTGCTCTAATCAAGAATTTAATTGGGACATAGTTATTTCGAAGTACAATTTTGTTGAAGATCGATAAATCGTTTTATAATTATCTTTCTCTTTTTGTTTCTCTTTCTTGGTATTGTAATTGGGTTTTGCTTTGATTTTTGCCTTTCTCTGTTTTTGGGTTGAATTTGTTTTAGTATTTTCTCACTTGGGTGTGAACAATTTTTGTTGGGTTTGAGTTTTCCAATCAAATTAGGATTTCAAAATAGAGGGAATTTGAGAATTGATTGCTCAATTGAGACTTTAAGGAAGTTGTTAATGGAGATGATTATAAAGAAGAGCTTGAAAATGGTAATGTTGAGTTTGAAACGTAATGTTTTGGGGAAGAAGATGATTTAAAGCACTTAAATAATTAATAAAGAAAATCAGTGAACTGTGGCACTTTTTAATTGGGTTTTATCAGAAAAAATAAACATTCACGCGCGTATTGTGCGTGTTCACAAACCAGTTGAGAAAATGGGTCAAAATGACCCTTTTGCAACGATATTCAATACTTTTATGGGGTAATAGGACACCCGTATAGTTAAAGTGTCTTTTTGAAAATTCGAGACAACTTTAGGTGTCACTTTATGTCTTTACTCATAATTAATTTATAACTACTTATAAAATGAAGTTGGTATCGGAATGAAACATGAATATTGTTGGTAGGCTGGCAAATTCATTTGAGATTTCAATTACATGTTTTTTTCAATTTTTCCAATGGGATATCAATTCGATACCAAGTGTACACCAATTGGGTACAAATTAACTAGTTTTAGGTTGACTAATTTAGTTGAAATCTCAATTACATGTTTTATTCAATTTTTCCAGTTGGATATCAATTGGATATCAAATGTATACCAATTGGGTATAAAATTAACTAGTTTTAGGTTGTCTAATTTGGTTGAAATCTCAATTACATGCCCTTTTTTTAATTTTTTCAATGGGATATCAATTCGATACCAAATGTATACAAATTAGATGCAACATTAACTAGTTTTAGGTTGTCTATTTCAGTTGAAATCTCAATTACAAGTTTTTTTTTCAATTTTATCGCAGGGACATCAGTT